TAGCGAATCTCGTGCATGACGCGGCCATGGAAAACGGATAAAATGGGGAACAAAAAAAGTCTCGGGCAAACAAACTTTTATTATTGACTACGTTCATGGACCTCGTAATCAAGATCTATAAATGAGAGGTTAGCCAGTTACCGGAAGGTCCCGCGTAAAAGTAGTGCGGGGTAATTATATCTGTGTCGTCGGCAATAATTGACCTCCATCGATCTGTTATGGTTATCATTCATAAGTAATCAATAAATAAAGACGTCATATAATAATTTCAAACATCGAAATGTTTACAAAAAATCGTTGCCGCCAAGTGATTAAAATCATAATACCATCTACTAGGCGACACTGCTGTCGCCCAATATATTAGTTACAATATCCACTGCTTTGTCCGTAACATATATAATATTATACCTACGTGGCCGTATATCATTTGCGCATACCTGTGCCAAAATATCGTTCATCGTTTGTCGTTTCGATCGGCAGATAACATAAATAATAATAAAATAAAATTTAAATAATTAAATTTCTTGTCGAGCCTAGACGAATGATAGTGCCCTAATATTTGGACAGTGCCTCAAATTTTTTTTTAACACATCAACATACATATTGATGTATTATTGTACTAACCCAGTGGTCTCCAGACTTTTTTATTCAAGGGCCACAAAAAAAAATCAAATGCTCTTAGCGGGCCAAAGGTTTATTAACACATATAATTTTTAACTTTATGATAATAAAAGTACCTATATAAATAATATGTTTACTTTATATTTTTGTATAGAATATTGTTTACTTTACAATAAACTTAAATAAAAATATATAGGTATAAATATAATATAATATAAATACATTTTTGAAATATTTTTTTTTCTATATTTACCTATGCGTCCTATGTGGGCCACGGGCCGGTTAAAACTTGTTCGCGGGCCGTAGTTTGGAGATCCCTGTACTAACCTATTAATGTCTTTAGTACTATAGTTACTATAGTTATGTATTTGTATAAAGGTCTGATGTTTTTTTTTAGATTAATAAAATGTATGTAAGTGGTTAGGTTAGATAGGTACAAACAATTTTTTTTAATTTTTTTCTACTTTCACGACTAACAAAATTTACATTATCTCTATGAACATATATACGCACATTTTATTATGCCCCTAAAAAGTTTCAAGTCGTGCCTGGGCTTAACCGACTCGCCCCGTGGGCACGCCTATGGCGGGAAGATTATCATTTGCTCATCGTCTGTATATCTGCTCCAAATTATCGTACATCATATGCGCATAAAAATTCTAAACAATAAAGGGTATGACAATAATTGTGTAGTACACACATATAATATTATATGGATAATGAATAATTTAATATACATAGGCACAAGTTTTTGTTCAATAAGCATTTAAAGTTCAAATGTTGACGACATTTATCAAAAACTCAATTTTGTAGTTAAAAGATACATTACATGGTCATAGTTATAGTAAAAAATAAACATATAGCATGTATAATAGTAATAATAATAATAATAATATTTTTTTATTACGGAAATAATTTCCAATTACAGTTTTTTTTTTTGTATAATAATATGTTTATAATATTATATTATATACGTACATTATCAGTAATTTATATATAACAATAATACTAATATAAATAATAAGAATAATAATCATAATAATAAAAAAAGAAATAGGTATAAATGTATAATATCATACATAATATTTAAATTTCTAAAATAAAAAACAAAATTAAATAAAAACCAGATATTTATTATGCTTCTATTGAACTATTATAGTAGGTATCTAATTTTTTATGTATTTCTTAAAACATTTGACATAAACATATTTAAAGAATTACAAAAAAAATCAATATTTTTTATTGATTTACCTGTGGACATTAAAATATTGGATGGAGGTTTTTGCATATAATTTTTAGTTGAATGTTTTGTGTAGAATAAATTTAAGGATCGGTAGTTAATTGGATTTATTTTAAAATGTATATTTCGCTGTAATTCTGGACAATCAATTATATTATTTAATAATTTAAATAAACTCTTTAATTTAATTTGCACAAATCTTTGTTCTAGCGACTGTTTATTAAAAAAACTGACTGTAACATTATAGTCAGAATGGATGATTGGTAGAATTGGCAAATAAAGGTAGTTTGAGTAAAATTTAATTTAGCTAAATTGTGATCGGTTCAATTAGGAATATTACAGTCATAGTTATTATTTGTATTATAATTTATAACTTATAAATTTAAAAACTTATAAATTATATTACAAATATACATATAGTTTGAGAAAAGCTAAACGTATACACCTTTTTTTCAGTTCTATCGTTAAAATATAATATCGATGCATAAATGATGTACGACCTTTTAAACGATCGATGAGCACAAACGATGAATACAACCCAAAAATCGAACGATGTGCAACCGTCTTACAAAAAAGTTCAAAAATAACAATAGTTATGATGCGCAAACGACAACCGACGACCTACGTACGCGCACACAAGTAGGTGCACAACTTATAATATTAATAATAATATGTTGTAGCAGCCCTTAAAATATCCAAACTTTCGTACTACACACATAGTCCCAAATCGGTGAAATCTAAATTATTTCTAGATAAACACTAGTACCTATACTATGTACCACCGTTGACTACTAAGCTGAAAAAAAAATAAAAATATAGTCTCAATAAAAATGAATAATAATAACTATAGTAAAAGTATAATACGTAACAATACAAAATATGTTTACTGTGTGTCTGTGTAGAAGATAATAATTAAAATGTGGTTTGGCAAAAAACCCTTGAATTATAAAAAAAATGTGAAGATATAAAGTTAAACATAATATTATTATATAAGTGTTTAATAAGAATAACACACTTTTAAATTTCGTACTACACAAAGTGTGTCGTACTACACACAATTTTAGGGACTGTGTTGTAGGTGCCTACTACGAACACTCAAGACGACGCAGTCACGTACATTATATTGGTATAATTCATTGCAACAACCCTCGCCACAAACACAATAATACAATATATACCTACCCGTATATATAGATACAATGTAGCAGGAGTTCATTTTGTTGTGTACCTACAAAAGGGGTACAAAACGAAAGGGGTGACGACGATACGATGTATATTATGTTGTACCAACCTTTTATGTTGTTTGGTCATGAAACCTGCGCGGAACGAAGGGGATAAACTAACATTGTATACTTTCGAGTGTCGTATATTGTAGACGGTCGTCAAAATAATATTATTTAATATGTATATGTATATGTAATATAGGCAGGGCAGATTTAACCATAGGCCCCACCAAGCTACGTGCTTAGGGCGCAACAATTTTTAGTTGATTTTTACTTTTTACAGCTTTTTCAGAATTTCATAATTATATCTACCTAAACTTATATTTTATATTCATTTTTTTTTGTATACAACTTTCCACTGGAAACATGTAACGTTTTAATTTATATTGCCGGTTGAGTTTAATTCTGAGGGCTGCGACCGGCGGCGCCACCGCTAGAGGTTCGACATCGACGCTCGACGAGGCAGTTTCCGGCGTTGCATGGGAGGTGGTTATAAGGGTGTGCGGCGTAAACACATACAGTATTGTGAATGGCGCATGCGCAAAGGAAGTCAAACTTACTGCCTCAGGCCGCCGGGTACATTGTATATAGCCGCTCTACTAGCTATAAAAAAAAAAGTACTGCTCACGAAAAGTGGCGTCTGGCCACCGCCGTACCCCGAAGCTCACCCGCCGTGTAGACAGTGGTTCTCTTTCTATTGTTGCGATCCGGAACGGCGGCGGCGCATCACGAACTATCGGCGCTATTGTTCATTTTCAAACGGTAATCATCCCTATGGACCACATTCAATGTTTTAAAACCTGTATATAAACTATAAAGGAACAGATGGTCATGGAGGGTGGCATGTAGGGTATGTTTAGTTGTATTCGGATCTGCTTGTGGCATAGTCATAGTGTTTTCTTTGCATTATATAGTGTGTTCAGTGTTGCACGCCTGTTTACTGTCCTAATACGTTAAAATATACCAATGAATTTTACGATAGGAGTGAGTATCCTACATCACAATTAATACTCAATGCCGTTAAGAGCAAAATTAATTACCTACTCAGAAAGTCTGAGTTCAATTAAAAGACTCCTTAGCAATTTAAAATTTTCTTACAAAAAATGTAGTAAATTTTTGATGGAGCGTAACGATATAGTTGCGCTAAGATGTAAATTTTTAAGACAAATTTGTACAATAACCAAAATAAAAATTCTCGACCCATTGTGTATCTGGATGAAACATGGGTGAATCAAAATCATTCGAGGAGCATTCCATGGCAACATGATGATACTACATTCATAATGAAAGTACGGAAAATGCACTATCTGTTCATTAACGCAAGAAAATGCCTAGATAACCAGGCTCTACGTTTATTATACTTTTCCATGACACAATCTATTATACAAAACGGAATAACCGCCTGGGGTGGCTTAGGTAGTATAGGAAGCAATAAAATATACAGAGCTCAAAATAATTAAAATAATTTTAAGTAAACGAAAAACATATCCCGCTAAAGGCCTATTAACTGAATTTAAAGTTTTTACGACGCAACAATTATTCTACAGATATGCCCTATATTCACATACAAATTTAATTTAATACAGTTTAAACCTAGATACTATAACACATGTCAAAACAACAACTTAGAAATACCTACTGTTCGTATATTGAAATCTAGTCGATGTTTTTCGCACTTGAAAATATTAAACAATATTCCGCTGCAAATTATTAATAGTACGTCTTATCAAATATATAAACAATCTATTAAATTATGGTTGTTAAATAATACTAGTGTCTTACACAATATGTAATATACCAGTGTACCTATATAATGCAGTCTGTTTATTTATCTATTCAATTTTTTTTTTATGTACTTCTATATATTATATTTATTTATTGCAATTTATGCTTTAATTACTATAGCTTTAATTAACAATTAGTTCTACAGGTATGTCTATTTATGTTTTTGAATTATAGTCAGATATGACGAAATATCTAAAATATTATAAAATTTATAAATGTATACCAACTTGGCTCTTAATAGTACTCCATCATCGCCGATAAGAGGTTATCCTCAGTGGTGAGATGGGCATCTAACCATGTTATATATATAATCGTTGATTACTTATTGAAATTGTATTTTTCTTTTGGCCAATAAATATTATTATATTATTATAATAAACATTGCGACGACGCGCAACGCTGGCACTGTCTCCTACATAGTGCATACTGCACAGAAATCTGCTAATCGATTACAATTATAGAGACTAGAGTGCTCACCACTTTAATCAGTACACCTTGTTTTATTTCACGGAACATTACCCCAACCCCCCACCCGGTGGGAGCACGCCAATGTACTGGACGCTAGTGTTGTAATTCCTAGGGGCGGAAAAATTGTAAGTCCGCCCCTGAATATAGGGGGGGGGGAATATTTTAAATCGTTAATTATTGACATAGGTCAGGCGACCGAAGCAAGATGTGCCGAGGCAGCAATAATATTTTCCTCCACCGCCGTACGAGCAGGCAATCCCAGTCCAGTGATTCGGCGAGGACGTAGGCATAGGCGCAATTTCAACTTTTTGCTTGGGGAGGCTAAATATATTAAAGGCAAGCAGACCATTGCAATATACCATATTAAAATTGTATGTCCTAGGTTTTTTTTTTTTGGGGGGGGGGCTTTGATTTCGTTACAACTGTCAATATTTAATATAAGAAAATAATATAAAAAATTAATCAAAATATTTAAATTCTTGAACTAAGATTCTATGAACTATCTTACATCGCATATCGTGTGTAGAATCAAGACGATTTCTATACTTTGATTTTAATATGACAAATAAGTAGAAAACACGGCTTCATAATATAAGTATGTGGTTGGAAATGGTAATAAACAATAATTAATAATGGACTTTCAGATTCTCTAGTTAAATGTGTTTATCTTTTAGGTGCGGCCAAAACTAACCGGTAAATATTTAATTCAAGAATAACACATCGATACCAATATGCATACCTATACCAAAACTACGATATGGACGCATCGAGGTGCGCCGCTGAATTTCGGGAAATAATAAACAAAAATACGACCGTCTCGCCAGCACCACCCATTCATAAATTTTTATTTTTTTTTTACAGGGAATTTGCCTTGTAATTAGCATGAATTTGCACGACTATCGCCAAAATTTATATGACAAAATGTACACCTGTATGACAAGAAATTATGTGCGGTGCTGGAGAGACGTCTCGTCGGCACCACCCAACATTAAAAATTATAAATAATAACAAACTTGATGTGCTAAAATGTAGCACGTGATTAACATGGATTTGCACCACAGACCCCGAAATTCGCACGCGTCTGGTCCGTGAGAAAAACCCGTTCGAATATTTTGAGGGTCTCGCCAGCACCGCGTAAGTCTAAAAATTGTTAAGTCGAAATTCAGTGTACGATTAGCATAATATTATGAATTATCGGGTGAATGTAAGTTCTTACACGATACCTATCAGGTAAATAAAATAAGAATGTCAGCTCCTACACGATATTAAAAGTTACATAATATATTATTATAAGTTCCTACACGGTAAAAAGCAGGTAGGTACTTGTATGTTAGTTTCTATACACGGCGGAAAAGTTATATATATAAATTCTTACACAGTTAAAACTATATTAATTTATATATTAAATGTTCTCATACTAATTATTATGTCATAAGAAATAAAATAAAAATCACATATGATACACAATACACATTCATAATTAAATAAAAGTATGTTGGTTATAACTTATAAAATATAATAAAAATCGTATAATGCATTTTCACAAATAAATATTAAATGATGATTATAAAATCTAACATACACAACTTTTTTTTTATCGTGTAGGAACTAGGAACTTACACTTCTCATTTTTATTGACTTAAAAATAAATATTATAAAATGAAATACTAATATTGAAAATTAATAATAGATAAAAAACAATAGAAATCTTTAATTCATTTTGTATAATAGTATATTATATAAATTATCTAACCATTTTTTTTAAAAACATATTTATTTTTATTATTACATGCTTTTCTTTAACTCACAATGTTTCATTCCTGTTGTCTTCAAATCTTGCGCGCTCGATTTGAGGCACTTATTCACGATGAAAAATTCTGAAAATTGGTATAGACATAGGTCTTGGAAGGCATTACAATAATCCGTTGTTATTTTGGGACCCGGACTTCTAGGTCGGCGATGACGGGTGGGCAAAGTCATCTCCGAGGAAGAAGAATAAATAATATACAGCTACGAAATTTTGTTTATAAACGGTTTCCATGGGTTATAAAACTATTATAATAATAATTACTTTTAACTTTTAACGCGTTTCATTGTTAAAACAGTAATAAAATCCTACATAGAGATTGACAAAGCGTATAGATAATAAAATACTAAACAAATAATAATGTATAAAGAGCCCGCAACTCAACGAAAAAGGCGCCTTGAACGAGCTCGTATAAAGTATCAAGAAACGAAAAATAAAATAAAAATAAATAAAATAAATAAAAAAATAATTTTTAAAAACATGCTTTTCTTAATACTACTTAATAAATGAACGAAAAGGTTGAAAATAAACTTACTTTTAAAACAATTTCTTAATGAAACTTCAAGGTTAACAAGATATTACTAAAAGTGTTTATAAAATGTATTTGTTGAACAATTTTAAAATATTCTGAATTAAAAAAAAAAGAAATGCACGGGGCTCTTTTGAGTCAGGAATATCTCTTACAAAATTGTGAGTGTGATCAATAATCTTTAAAATATTTTTCATAAAGTTTATATAAAAATTCGGTTGTAGGGTGACTTTACGTATGACTTATCATAAGTATATAAGTTATCTATTTTCATAAAAGTGTCCGATAAAAACAAAATTCAACAATTTCAGAATATTGCTCTTAGGAAAATTACTAATGATACAACCCTTTGTTTCGAATTACACTATACATAATGACCTGTCAATTAAAATAGTGGCTCTTATGAGTCAGGAATATCTCTTACAAAATTGGAGGTGTGATCAATAATCTTTAAAATATTTATCATAAAGTTTATCTAAAGATTCAGTTGTAGAGTGCCCTTACGTAGGAGTTATCATAAGTGCCCCATGCATTTCTTTTTTTTGTAATTCAGAATTTTTTAAAATTGTTCAACAAATACATTTTATAAACACTTTTAGTAATATCTTGTTAACCTTGAAGTTTCATTAAGAAATTGTTTTAAAAGTAAGTTTATTTTCAACCTTTTCGTTCATTTATTAAGTAGTATTAAGAAAAGCATGTTTTTAAAAATTATTTTTTTATTTATTTTATTTTATATTTTTAACTATTAAAAGTTTGTGAAAATGTTATTAAAAATTTAATGACATTTTCATATCACTAAAAAATTAAACCGTTTAAAAATTCAACAGTTTTTTATTCAATATTGAATAGAAAAATGTATTAATAATTTGTTTGAGCTACAATTGTATGGTTCTTTTTTTACCAGCCGCAAATCTGTCAATGAACAATGAAAATAAAATATTCAGCACTCAATATTAAAATTGAGTTATTTACCACAGTCACAGTGAACAAAATATTTAATTAATATTTACTTGTTAACATGAAGTGATAACAGATTTTATGGTAAGAAAAAGAGTCTCGGGAAAAAAGTATTAGGAAAAAAGTCTCGGGGGTAAAAATGATTTGGATTTTACTTGGATATTTTGGAGGGTTATAAGGTATAATAATGGATTTTCCCTGAAAACGACGATCTAATTGCCATTATTATAATAATATCGTCGTATTAT